AAACCAGATATCGATGGTGGTGTATCCAACCCAATGTGATAACCACCACCTCCCCTCCCCTAGTTCGAACTTGAGACCTACATGTTGAAGTTTTGGGCTATAATCATTGATGTCTCCTAGGGAACAAGAGCAAATGATGCATCAACTGGCTGATACACCATCCAAGTAAAATTGGGAATTCCTCATTTAACCAACTATTCTGATGAGTGAACAAAAGTAATCCCGATGAGATCCCATTTCAATTGAGCCATAACTACATTTCATATTCCAGATAGTGCAAAGCATTGACTTGATACATAATCAAAAAGATCTTGAGTCAAATAGGACACATAATTTGAAATAAAAGCAAGGTAAAAAAAAATTGAAACAAATGCAAAAGTATAATAACATGAAGGAAGCAAAGCACAAATCATATCTCCCTACAAACCAATAGAAACGCATAACGGTGACCTGATTAAACCTTAACCAAACATTGTCATGAAGATTTTAATGAACCAATGGTATCGGATAGGTTTCTAAATGAAACAGCAAAATGACATATTTCAGAAGCTTCATTAAGATAACTTCAAAATAGTTAAGTAGTTTGTCCATGTTGCAACATAAACTTTCAACACAAAATCTAAAAGCGAATTAGTGCAATCCAAGTTTTTTTTGTTTGAAGGTAGTGCAATTGAAGTTTATCTTAAAATTGTTACCTGGATTTATTCCTGCAAAAATGCCATACCAAAGATCGTCTGTGATGAATGAAGTAGCTCTCTCCACTGCACCAAGATATACACCAGGACCAAGTGTTGGAGGCAAAGGATGAAACATTTTTTGATTTGGGTAATCCAAGTCAACTGCAACATGACGATTTGTGAGAAATCCAACCTGTCGGCTGCCGGTTTGACTTTTCACAATAGCACCTAAAGTCCCATAAGTTTCCTGGTTTGCCACCTGAGGGTAAAAAATGATAATAGTTATGTGGAAATTTATACGAGACATTTACATATTTGTCAGCTAAGACTTTCCTGAAGATGGTTTCTTTAGTCACTAATGACGAACATAAGCATATTGTCCAGATATATAAATCAACATCTGATGAAAAGGACAAAACTAGTTCAAAGTTCAAAATATGTTTTACAGAAGAAGAAAAAACATTTAGACAAATTCAATACTACGATATAAGATAGAAAAAGAGATAAAGAAATAATGAAAGACCCTGATTACCATACAAACCAACCTCGACAAGTATTCAATTAAAACAATTTCAGACAGAGTACACGACTCATTTTACTGTATTTCACTATATAAGGTGATAAACTGATAATCTCCAAGCATCAACATCCAAAAGGTCCATTTCATGCCCATGGAATCGATTTGCGCAATCCGCAAAAATAGCAAAGTGCAGCTTACTAGGTGTTTTAATCGCTGATGACAATACCATGTAGAACTAGACTAGAATATAAAGCTTGCTTTGGATGGTCAGAGTTCTCAAGCATGCTTGTACACCAAAAAGATCTACCAACTATCATCAAATAAAAAACATTACAAGGCAAGTTGAGAATACCTGAGAACCTGAGCCAATATGCGGATCACCCCCACGTAAATCATCCACAATCTCCGTGTACAGCTGCTCTTTGGGAGCTGGCTCAGGCGCACCGAAATATGAGAACTCCACAACATCCACGTCACACCATACTCCTCCTGGCCCCTGATTAAAGGAGTTAATACTTATTTTAACAGTATATAGAACCTGACCCAACTAAAAGGGGTTGAAACAAGATAAAACCAGTGTGTCGTAAGATGGGAAAAGGTTAAAGAATAGGAGCAACGGAGGAAAAGGGGCAGGATAGGAAGTAAAGTTGAATAACCTCTAAGGCGGTAGGTAGACATTGGATGGGACTGAGCCATTGCTTATCAACTTTCCTGGAGACAAAAACAAGGATAGCCGGTATGTCAGTCAGCACACCCTTTTTAATACGAAAACCAATTGCCGTCCCAAGACTGTAGCATCTTAAGATCTTGCTATGAAATGCTCTTATGGTCATTAGTTCCAGTAACGTTGCTGCTTGTTGCCCTTTCGGCAACCGACCAAGAGTCTCCGGCAGAACTCCTTTCTGCAGATTAGCAAAATAGTCTGCCCTCTCTTCAGCAGCATCATTTAACCTGCTGGAGGTTGGCCATGAAAAGTAAGGAGCATTATTATCACTGTGCTGTCCACCCGAGGCAAAAGGCTGAAGCGTCGGTGAACTAAACGAAGGAAGATGAGGATGACAGCAGCAGTTTCTTTCAGAATCCAAAGCCGATTCCTCCGATGGTGTTGAACCAGAGCAACGACCCCTCGTATTAAGTCTGGATCGCTCCATTGTTTAGACTAGCTAAAAGGATATTGCGGTGAAACACCTGGAGACCAATACAAATGAAAATGACTCAAGATACAATTTCATTTCTTTTTTACCTTTTAAGAAGGAAGAAAATACAATTAAGAGTCGTTCATCTTGATCAAAGCATTTACACACTTATTGTTGTTACTAGTAAAGGATATATTATATAATGGATTTAGAACCCATACTGTTTTCATTTTCAGAACATATTTATGCATGTAAAACTCTAAATCATATTCTAAAGAAATCAAATAATTCATCCTACCACAAACCATCAACAAACCCAATTTTAATAATACAAAAGAAAAACACTTAACAAAGAGGAATACCCAGAAACCAGAAAAAACAGAAAAACAAGGAAAAAGTGAAATAAAATCATGAAGCAAACAACTGATTTCTTTTATTTTTTTTTATAAAAGAAAAAAAATAACTTGGCTTTGGTCGAGTGAAGCGCCTTCCTCCTTGTCCTACAGTGAGGCAGTGAACTGAAAGCTGGAAGACTAAAGGCCGTGACTTTGGAGCAACAAGAGAGGGAAAGGAGATGGAGAAATTCCTCGGGACAGCAGAAAACAGCACTACTTTAATTTCTTCTCTCTCTCTCGTCCTCTCTTGTGTAGGATAAAATACATCATAGGTCCCTAAACTATAATCAAATAATTATTTTAATAACAAATATTTAAAAATTACAAAAGAATTATCGGTCATAGTTTAGGAATTTATAAGATAGCATTTATTCAAAAAAAAATTAATTAATTAATAATAAACACATACATATCATATAAAAACATATACTTAAACTCGAAATTTTTAAAAGAATATTTATTTTTATCATGGAGATTGTTTCTTTCTATTTATTCATTAAATGTATTTAATGATAGTGGGCCTTTGCTTAAGTTGGGACTCGGTTAGGTTTGGACTTTGTATATTTGAACCACTTGTGGATTTAATTGAAGTCGATATTAATATACGCTAAGCGTATATTTTAAGTTTTGATCAGTTTAGGTGTGGAAAGATGCCTTGATAGGTCTAATTGTAATCAAGTTATACATAATCGTATCCTTATTATGTATATTTAATAGTATTTAAATAATACATTGTCTTATTAGAAAAATCCCCAAGTAAATCGATTATTTAAATGATATTAATAGTTCAGTCAAGTGATTCACAAGTTAAAAGTAGTGTTCTAAGGTCTTTAGGTATGGAAAGAGTCCTTGTTTTACATTATAATTCAGCATTAACAACTAAATCAAACTGCAAAATTATTATATTATTAACAAAAATAACATAATGTGAATATATTACTGTAAGTTTATTGTTGACCACAACATCATAAATAGGGGTGAACATTTGATCGAATCGAGTTAAAAAATTTTGAGTTAGTCATATTTTATAACTCGAACTTAACTTACAATTTTTCAAGTCGAGTTGAGTTTAAGAAATTCGAGTCAAGTTGTTCGAGTTTTCATACAAATTTAATTATTTATAGTATTATAGTACATATTTATTTCAATTTTTCGACTTTCTCTAATTATATAAGATATATATATTTCTTCATGTTCTTTTCACATCACAATGTTATTTAATATATCACATACAATCTAGATTATAAAATATATATACAATATTATATTTCAAAAAAGATATTTTGAGGATAAAAGATTAATGGTAGTATAAAGGAGTCAAAGAATTGGTGTAAAGAAAGAATTTGTAAACAATTGTAGTCAAAAGATTAAATTGAGTAAAATGCAAAGTTAAAGGATTGAATTAAAAAAGAGAGTATATTTTTAGTAAAAAGAAAATAAGAATTGAAGTTATATATGTATTCTATCGTGGTAGGAGAGCATGTGGTTTAAATTTGATAAAAAAAAAACATACTTAAAATGAAGGATGAATTGAAGATCAAAAAGCATGTAAAATTGAGGGACTAAATTAAAAAAAATAGAAAATTTGTTATCAAAAGTGGAATTGAAAGTACATATATATTCTTTGATGATTTAAGAACATGTGGTTCAAATTTGGTAAAAATTTGACTTAAAATAAAAGAATAATTGAAGGAATAAAAAATTAAGGATCGAATTGTAAATCTGTCAAAATACTCATCCAAATTTCGAGTAATTTCAATTTTTCAAGTTACTTGAAAATTTAAAATTTCAACTCAATTCGAACTCAAAAACCAAATTGATAATTCAAGTTGACTTGAATAACTCGAAATTAGAAAAAAAAATCAATTTTCCAATCAAATTTTACACAGTCCTAATCATAAATTAAAGATGAACTTTTAACATTATACCCTTCCATTTTGACAAAATGGTTCAAGCCTCAAGGGTCAAAGTCAACTACTCGTGCAAAATAAAAAAACATATTCGTAAAACTATTATTAATTTACATGTCATGACAAAATAATTGGACCGCCTTCATTGTAGACAAGGTAATATCATGCGGACAAATGCTTTTATCAATTGAGGTAATTATTCGGTTAGACATAGTTTAATTAAAAAGATAGTCAAATAAGATTTAATTTTCGATATTTATAACAAATTTCTTTTTTTTAATCTTTATATCAGAAAATATGTAAATTATATATAATTCAACTAAACTATTCGGTGGGAGATAAAGAAGCTAAAGGGACACTAATTAAATGTTAAGACAAAGACATAGTTAAGATGCAGTTAAGTATTATCACAAATGAAGTTGCAAGAATATTGTACGGAAGCACGTCGATACGACTCTCTCCAATAGCATCATTCACACGGCGAATACATCCAAGGGAAATGGGCAAAGGTAGTCTACGTCTTACGAGGAGGCGAACTGCTGCTGCTGCTGTTACTGCTTCTTCCTCTCAATGGCCTGCGCGTGAAAATGGCATGCACATTATAAAATGGAAACCGCAGCAAGAGTCCCTCTCGGTAATAAGCAGATAATTTTCGAGAATAAGTCCGATTGTTCAATGAAAATTTTAATTTGAAGTGTCAGTTGTTCAGTAAAATGATTTTAAAAATAAAATAGCATTACCTCCTAGGACTGCGACTCCTTGAAATCTTCCGTCCGACCTGTCATAATTAACAAAAAAGTCAGATCTTCAATAACTGGTAAATAAGTTCCTCCCTCAAAACCAAAATTCATAAACACAGACCTTCCGGGGACTAGGTGATCGGGAATAGGATGATGATCTCCCCCGTCTAGCTGCAGGTCCTCTGCCTCTGTTTTAAAGATGAAATATCGAAGTAAGATCCGAGGTGTGGAAACTCAAGATTACAAACAACAGTGTACAATTGATAGGGGATGGAAAGGCATGAAAGGCACCGGCACAAGCTCAAATTCACCCATTCAATGATGTCGATAAAATTTAATAACCCATTATATTCATTGCTCGTCTTGAAAATATTTGACACACTGCAGGAGATAATCGTACTAAAAAATAAGAGACAGTTGCTAAAAGCAGATGCACTACCTTGGGGGTGAGATTGACCTTGAACGAGAACGCAGAGGTCTACGAATTGGAGAACGGCTCCGTCTACGAATCGGAGAAGGGCTACGTCTACGATTGGTGGGAGACCTTCTTGGAGGGCTACGGGCTCGTCTAGGAGGTGAACTGTAATAAAACATGATAGTACATAACCAATGTTACATGAAATTATAGTTGAACTAATTTGTTTGAGCTAATTCACACTTCATACCAACAATAAGATCAACACCAAAGTGTCGGTTATCCAACAACATGAATATAACATACTGTGACTACCTAACAAACAATTATAAGTTTGTCTTTAAATACATTATTGCATTCTTGATTCCTCTGATTCAGTTACGATCTCATGGATTTATTGCTCCGAGTCAGTTAAGATCATATTGATTTATTCATTTATTTACATTTAGCACTGATTCATCTATATCTTAGGGCAAGTGGGCAACAATATTCAAGCATTATGAAAATAGCTAAATGTATCATTACCGGCGCCTTGGAGGTGGAGAACGCCTTCGGATTGGACTACCACGCATCCTACGCGGAGAGGTCCTGTGAATAATTTAAATGGGTTAAATTCTTTCAAAAAACAATTCATTTCAACAACTTATTATCTATTAGAAGTACCAAACCTTGCTGGAGATCGAGGTCGCCTTGGAGGGGACAATGGAGAACGACCTCTGGCAGGAGAGGCTGGCCGGCGCCTAGGAGGTGTATCACCACGACGACGAACAGGAGAATCCAGCCGCCGCCGTGGAGACTCTGGTGGTCTTCTAGGAGATCCACCTCTTCGACCCACAGGAGATCTCCTTCGTGGTGACAGTGGAGGTTTGCGTTGAGGAGAAGCTGATATCCATCAGTTAACAAGTTGAATAACATGAAAAAACCACATATACAAATAAAAACACAAATTTTACTAAGTTAAACATACGTTCTTGTGGTCGTTTTGCCCCACCCCTCTCAGTATCAGCATTGACATTATCAGATTTGGGGGCATCTCTTTTAGTAGCAGTAGCAATTGGCTTTGGCGGTGAAGAAATTTTTGGTCGTGGAGGAAGAGTAAACTTCGCTCTTACTACATTGCCATCAATCTGAGCCTGCAATAAAGCAACAAATTACATCATCTCGCAACATAGTAACTCCAGATGCTCCTAATAGTATTACTTTTGCATCTTAGCAAAAACTTACACCATCCATGTAGAGTAACGCTTTTTCAGCATCTGCTCTCGTCTTGAATTCAACATAGCCATACCCTCTTGGAAGATTAAGCTGTTAGCATTAAAAAGTGTCTTAATAACAATAATAATAACAACAACAATTATAAATAACAAGATATGACTGGTATGAACTTACAGCACGGTCCATTGCAAGCTCCACATTTACAACTTCACCAAAATTACCTACAAAGTGGAAGATGTAGAAAATTATGATGAGAAATGAGCTGGAGAAACATCAAATGTTTAAAATAAATAAGAAAACAAATACTCATCCAAACAAAAGTAGTAAAGATTCTCAGTCAAACATTTGGTTAAAAGGTAAGGCACATACCGAATATTTCTCTTAGATGGCCTTCATTAACATTTCTGCTCAGTGAGTCAACATAAAGAACCAGTGATTCACGGATAGGAGAAGTCTTCCTGAAATCAATGTCAAAGGAAATCAGTACCAGAGCATAAACTTCAATCTTTCTCAAGCAACGTGCTGTTATATTTTCTTAATCTGGAAAAATAATCATACATTCATACTGTTAAATCCACCCATATTAGCTTACTGTATGTTTATATATATTGCATGTAATACAAGCTACCAAGTCAAAGTTTCTCTAGAAAATTTGCTCAGGATTGAAGAGACCAGGAAGTAATGAAAAATTCCCCATATCAAAATTGTATGGGGGGAACCATCCTTTGTTTAATAAGAAACTACCAACGTAGATAAAATTTATCCAGTGAGATGAACAATCAAACTAAAATCTGCTTCATAGAATATTTATCGGTTTCTCTATTACCAGAAACCCAACTAGCTTCAAACAAATTAAAAATAAGTTTCTTCTCAAATAATTCTATCATATCCTAAATAATGTATTACCTTTAAAAATCCATTCCTTAGTTGTTAATAGTATTGAACATATGCAATATATATAGAAAAACTTATGGCCTCTACAAAGATTTAAACTGCCAATACTGATAAATCTGAACCTAACATAGCTCATATGCAATACATATACGCCAGCATAAGGCCTCTGCAGAAATTTAAAATGAAAATACTGGTAAATCTGAACTTAATATGGCTTTACCTTGGAGCAGGAGATGTCTTCTTAGATTGTGGAGGAGGTGAACGATCTCGCTTAGATGTGTCAGCCTGACTGTGTAAAGGAAAGAAAAGAAACTCAGACACACAAATTAAACTTTGAAAAAGATAACTGTATGCAAAAGGGAAAATGAGGACTGTTAACAGTATCAAAACTTGAGACACAAATGTAGCAACGTCAATAAAGATGGCATTCTCAATTGCAGAAGACAGTTGAACTGAATCCCAAAATCGATGCTTTTCAAAATGACTGCACTGCCAACTCTGAACTCATAAGTCATAACTTTAATCAAATCTTTTACACCATAAAGATATACAAGATTTCAACTCAATCAGAGAACGGAAAAGTCAGAATTTACAATTCAAACTCTTCCAAGCAAACATAACTCATTAAAGTTAAATTACCACATAGATGAGTAGAAGGAACTAGAACCCCATGAGCCAAGTTTGCAAGTTACTATTATTAGGTAACCATTCATTTTAGCTATGCGCAAAAATGAAGTGTATCGTAGGTAGACTAATCATTCTTTTTCTATTGGGATGAATAAAGTTCGCTAACTTTCAATACCATCTACACAGAAAGCAATTTCGAAAGAATAATTAATCTGACGAGCGAAAATGAACCTTCGACGCTGAGGAGGGCTGCGACTTCGAGAACTAGCGCTACGAGAGGAAGATGAGAAAGATTTGGAGCGCGAGCGGGATGGAGAAGCAGATCTAGAGAGGGACCGAGAGCGAGAACTGGACTTGGAATCTGAGCCGGAGTAAGAGCGAGACCGAGAACGGGAAGAGGAACCAGAGCCGGAGACAGAAGGTGAGCGACGGGCTCTCGTCGGCTTCGCCATTGGTGGAATACAAGAACGTTAGAGATGAGCAACCCTAGATAAACCCTAGGGGGCGTGGTTGAGATTGAATTTTGTTGCACAGAAAGCAATTTATCTGTAAGAGAACAAAAACGTTTAGGGTAAAATGCACCTATCCGCTATACGAGTTTTATCATATTTTTACTTTGATCACTAAATTATTATTTTATTGCAAATTCATCATTACCAAGTATTTACCAAAAGTCAAAGGCTGAAACTTGACAGAAATTTGAGTTAAGACTTAAACATTCCTTGAAATGGAATTTAATTCAATTTTCATTTTATTACCAGGTAATTTACCAAATATTTTCACTATATACCCGAAGTTCTTTTGGTGGTAGAATGTGAAAAGTGCAAAATTCAGAGGTTAAACTATGAATTATCCGAAAATAGTTGAAGTAAATATGTGTGTTGTTATTTCCAGGGAGCTGTATGTATCATTCGGCGGGCTTTTGATGCTACTCAGGGGATAACCCTCTCATGTCACCTACTTTGAACTTCACCAGAGGCTATATCTTCTCAGAGGAGGCTCTGAAACTTTCGGTACGTCGAGCATTTCCGTTTAAATTGTCTGAGTTACATGAGCTTCTACGAGTCTATGGTAGCATAAAAGGTCACACGGTGGGTCGAATTTCCGGCACATTATGATTGAGTATTCGATAATTTACATTCGGCTGTTTAGATTTCTGGAAGTGTCTGGTTTACCTTGCATTTTCGTGCCAAGTTCTTGTTGAATGAGTCCAATACCAAAGAATAATAAAAGGGTCATCATCAAATATTGAATAATCAGATTAAACCTCTGAATCATCATCATTACAACCTTACACGAATATTACTTGATCATGTTTTTCCCTTTAGAAAGCAAGATCAACATTGTTAATAAAAGGAACACACACACACACATACATATATATATTCAAAACACATAGAGGTCAGTCAATTCCTCCAAGGAATCCAGTATGAGATTTGGATCAGAATTCTCAAGCAACCACAAAAGATGATCAAACAAAACTACCTCACATTTAACCACCACCATGTGGTCATCCCTTCCGTGCTTCTCTATCAAAGCATTCAACAACGGATGTTTAAGGTACTTCGAACTAAGCACGTATTGTTTCCTTGTACTCCCGACATAAATCGTTTCGCATTCTTGATGTTCATCGTCACCGCCATCATCGTTCTCAACATTGTTTTTTCCTCCCCCTCTTCTTATATGATCCCAAACACGACGACGGCGACGATCTTCCCGAGCTGATCTCGATCTCAAGCTGTTGTACGAGGACGACCTCCCTAGTTGCATCGACAAGCTCTTGCATTTCCCGAGTATGAGATTGATCTTCTTCATTGAATTTGTCTAGATGGAAGAAAATGATGAAGAGATGTTGGTGGATGAAAGGAGACTTGATTTACACTCTATGAAGGAGCAATGAAAAGAGTACTTAAAAGGTTTAAATACATGGTGGGTGCCAAGTCTTTGTATTTCAGTGCTAGAAAAAAAAATAGTGGGATCAAACTTACCAACCAAACATTTTAATTATTCAATTTAAATTAATCGATCAATGAATCGAATAATTTATAATTTTACAAAAATTAAGACAAGTACAATGATGAGAGGCATATCCCACAGGATGGAAGGGCTTGGTAAAGTGCTTTCGTCGTATATGGCTTAAGTAATGTGCACGTGAATCTCTTTGTCACTCGGCTAAGCTGCTCAATCGTTCTCACATGGCCTCTTTCTTTCTATTTGCTTTTTTCACTAAATAAAAGGGGAAAATTTAGGGTTTTGATCAGACATTAGTCACATTTGTATATATTGATACGAGAATATTGACATATATTTGTATGTGTGTGAATACATGTACGTCACTCATATTTTGTATATATTGATACGAGAATGTTGACATATATTTGTATGTGTGTGAATACATGTACGTCACTCATATTTTGTTACGTCATTCTACATTATAAACTATCACATCAACATTATAAATCGTTATGTCAATACGTGAATCACCATATCAATATTATAACAATCAACGTTACTTTCAGTTAATCAAGGAGTCAAATTAATTGTTACTCAATTTAAAAACAATATTAAATTAAGGTATTCTTCAAAAATTCGAAAACTTATGATTTCATTAAATATTTTTCTATTTTGGGTGCATAAATATATATAGTAACATATCTTATCTTAAAAATTAATGTTTACATTATCGGATACATAAAAATAATAATTAGAATTGGTCAAGGAAGGAAATTGTTTTTGAAAGAAATAATAAAAAAATTAGGTTGCAAGTGCATGTTTGATAGGTCATTTTGACCTAATTTTGACCGACTTTCAAGTTCTTTCCATGAATTTCGGTGAACTTCTTCTTTGGCTTAATTTGTCCAAAATGTCACATTGCTTATGACATTTTTCCCTCTTGGAATGTTATATTCTAAACGAAAACGGTGCTCTTTGGCATATTAAGCTCGTGTAAAATTAGGGTTTAAACCTGTTTAAAGGTCATATAAACATAAGGTTTGGAATGAAAATAAGTTGATTTTTCACTTTGGGTATTGGTTCATCTCGACCCAAAATCTATAACTGGATCAAGACGATCCATCAAACGAACTTTATTTGTTGGATGATCTATAATTATCACTTTCAACTTTCTACAAGACCCGCGACATACTCTTGACCCTAGACTGAGATAAGTCTCCCCTCAGCTAAACTTTTTAGGACATACAAAATCCGACAATCGATACCCAAATCCGAGTAAAATAGCTTCTAGATCTGCCAAATTCATAAAATATATGGAGAGAATGCATGATCATACTGCTAATAATACAAAAGCCATATCCACTGCCATGTCAAGACCACAAATACTACAGTATGAACAGTAATATGCAATAGGTTCCAAAGCTCTTCTCAATTAGCAGTCTCTCTCATCTTCTTTGACTGCCCCTGTAGTCTTCTTCGCTTTCTTTATCCTTTAAGAAGCCTAGAAATGCGAGAAATCCGAAAAGGAAAAATCCACCAGACCAGTTGCCTCCACCGCCTCCCCCACCGCCGCCACCACCGTCATCATCACGGGGTGGAAATCCAGAATCACCATCATCCAGCTGCGGCGACTTCTCCTTTGCTGCGTTTCAATAGAACATGTTAAGCCAGTTGGATTTTATTAAAAAATTATAAGGTTTTGTACCCAAAGCAAAAGGAACAAGACCAAAGCTGCAAATTTCAAGCCAATCGGATATCTACCACCATTGGTAAGGAAGTCCCTCATATACAGGGATCCATCCCTAGCTCCAGAGAGCTCAAGTGATTGTCACTAGGGGTGGGAATAGGCCAGGCCAGGCTTTAATAGGCCTGGGCCTGGCCTACAATGATTTGTGTAGGCCTGTGGCCTGTCAAAGACTTTTATTTAGGCCTGGCCTGGGCCTGTTTAAAAGTCTGGCCTGTTTAAAAGCCTGTTTAACAATAAACATTTAATATTTTCAGTTTAGCCATTAATTTTAGAGTAAAATCCCTATTAAGTCACTCTAACTTAGTACATTTTACAAAGTAGTCACTCTAAATGGCCGGCCTATCAGGCTTATAAGGCTTTTTAATAGGCCTAAGCCTGGCCTGTTTAGTTAAATAGACCTTTAAAAAGGCCTGGGCCTGGCCTGTTTAGTTAAATAGGCCAGGCCAGGCCAGGCTTTATACAGGCCATTCCCACCCCAAATTGTCACCAGGAAAATAGTACACCAAAACTACGGAAAAGAGTAACATAAAAATTGCTAGAGCTCACAGTGAAATCCAGGACAATGGCATGCCATGTACATCATGAGAACATAAATGTTTATCACATCAATAAGATATTTCAATAAAAAGGAGCATTGTCAATGCTTCTAGCCAACAAGCAGCATCTGTATTCTTATGTGCCAAAACCAAATAACAGTCATCCTACTGAAGCTGATGGAGCATGAAAGTGCGTGCAAGCATCAACACACAATGGCTAAGTTTCTAAAACTAGAACGAGATGATGCATGTCTATCATCACCCCTTTCAATTATTCAGGCAAAATCAGTTAACCCACCAGAACCTTCCCAACCGCAATCAAACTTAAGGCAGGTGACTAAAATCCAACAGGAAAATCACAAAAATGAATACATCTAACCAATTATTGCAAGCTATTTAAAGTGCATATGCTTGTTATTACAGTGAACAGGAGCTAGGGTGATTGTTGGTGCTTCCCGAGTAACGGTTTGAGTTTGCCCCGATGCACTACAAGTTGCATTCTGCGGGAAAATGAAACCAAGTCAGAAAATCCAAATTCCAGCACCATCAAAAGTCTAGTTTGAGCAAGTATAAAGCAAGACACACATATGCACACAAGTTTCAATCAGATTCGCTAAATTTATTTCATGCTTTAATGCTGCTTATGCTAGCAGATGGTACATATATAAAGAGTTTTGGATTATGTTAACTACTATAAAGGAATCCATTTCCTCCATAAAAATAAAAAGGGACAAAGATTCGCTAAATTTATTTCATGCTTTAATGCTGCTTATGCTAGCAGATGGTACATATATAAAGAGTTTTGGATTATGTTAACTACTATAAAGGAATCCATTTCCTCCATAAAAATAAAAAGGGACAAAGATTCGCTAAATTTATTTCATGCTTTAATGCTGCTTATGCTAGCAGATGGTACATATATAAAGAGTTTTGGATTATGTTAACTACTATAAAGGAATCCATTTCCTCCATAAAAATAAAAAGGGACAAACGTACCAAAGCAGCAGCAGCACATACAATGGATAAAGATTGGTTTCTACGCCTTCTAACAATAGGTTGTAATTGCAAGCCAAGTCCCCTTGGCCGAATTCGTGCGGGAATTCTATCGGCACCACGGCAGCCATTGCCTTTAATTTGTGGCTCTAAACAATGTCCTGGCGAAAACAATGACGAATATTATCATTAAAATATAAGAAATTCAAATGAATGACAAGAAAATTCCAAGAAAACCAGCTAGAACAAGATCATACCGTTAGATAATGAAGGCAGCAAGGAGGCAGTAACACTAGTAGTCAGCATTTGCAGATAATAATAACAAAAGCTATTCGGATAAGAACAAAACCTGAAAATATATGAAAGTTTGCATCTCTTAGATTGTATCGAAATTTATAGATTAAAAATAATGAAAGCCCATATTTTCACCCCATTTTCAGCACACGTGCATGGATTATAATTAACAATCCAATAGGCTAAAACTAAAAGCACACAAAAGAAAAAGATATAAAAAATGACCCAATTCTTTTTCCTAATTACCAACAAGAAAAACAACATCAAAAGGAAAAATTGAAGTGATAAAACCGAATTAATTAATGGATTAAATCGAAATTAAAATGACCATCCATGGAATTGAATATAATAAAAATTACCAAAGGAAAAAAAAAGAAACCTTGAAGAAGCTGCTGGATACGATTAACCCAAGTAAGCAAAGTTGCCGACTTTAAGAAGGAACGAGATCTGGGAATTGCAATCCAAGTCGAGGAAGACGAAGAACGGGGCTCAATATAAATGGGGTAGGGGTATAAGAATGCATACAATTTGCCGACTTTAATGTCTGGTGTGGGAAACTAAAAACCTGGACATGGAGGAGAATAGGCCAATGGATCGGGCCTTGGATACAAAAGTTTATAAATTCTGCTCATTAGAAATAATTTTTTATTAGTTCGAAACGATTATAAATTAATATTAGATTAAAAGATTATTAATTATTTGATAATGAATATTCAAATATTTTTATAATGATAAGCTTAAATTTAAGACCTTTAAGAATAACAACTATCTCTCTACCCATTAAAATCGTTTAATTCATACCAATTATTTTTTTAATAAAAATTAATGTAAATATTTACTAAAATAAATCATATTTTAATAATATGCATTAAATTATACATTACTGAACAATAATTTAATTATAATTATAGTTAAATTCTTTATTCATCCCGTAGAATTAATTTTTTGGATATAATTTTTTTTCAAATTTTATGATTATATAGTGATTATATGAATTTATTTTTTATATAATTATCGGTATCTGATTTATTAATCGATTAATTCGGATCAGATATTGCAGAGACAATTATAACCTTCTCAACACAATTTGTTTCGCAAATATCATGATTTGAATTCCTAAAATTATTTAAGAAATTTAGTGTCACATCTCACTAATCAAATAGATACTAAATCAAATAGTTGTTAGTATATGGATTCAATTCTTATTCTAATTGGTTTCAAATTCATTTGTAATTTTTAGGAATCCACAATACTAATGTTAGCTGAACTATACATAATCAATAAATTTAATTAATTTATTTAAAATTAAATATATAAAAATAAAAAATTTCATTTTTATAAATAGAAAGCAAATGATTATTTATATATTATATATAAGTTAAGTTTACTATCTTATAATATAACAACCTGTCAAAAAAATTAATCTAAAAAATTGGAAAATTTAAAGTCAGAAAAAAACTAACAAAATTAAAAATAAGTATATAAATCCTAATAATAAATAATTAACCAGCCCTTTGCTATCTCTTCTTTAGGGTTCCTTTCTTTCATCAAATTGTCTCAATAATTTGGACTGGAAAAAAGAATTTAAAGGGGGGAAATACCCTATTTCCTTTAGAATGAAATAATGCTCTACCTAGATCTCTTTTTATTTCTGCCCTTTATCGTTGAATTCCCTTTCTTTTATTTTTTTTTTTAAATTTTAGATTTCAGTTTTGTTTTTAAGAAAACGCTAGATCGAAGATTCAGTTAAATTATTCATGTTTTTGTTTCTGGGTTTTCACTATTGAATGGCGATTTTAAATTGTTTATATAATGGATGCTTCTGAGAATCCTGAGCGAATTGGCGATACTTCTACAGGTTTGATATTCGACTCTTATTCCTTTAATTTACTCAATATGTGCTTTTAATGGGATAAATGTGTTTTGTTAGTTTGGTTTAAGCTAGAATTTTTGGTTGTGTTATATTTAAATTTTAAAATTAAGATTTTTTTTGGCACATATGGAAAACTACTGGGCCTTTGGCAACATAAAGTGTGGTAAATCGATAATTGCATTCGTTTCAATTATCCTATATCTTATCTGTCGCCAAGGAGATGGAGTCTCAAGCTCTAACTGTTGCGATATCCCTTTGGGCATACAGTACAAGTGGCTTTTGTAGCGGTTGTTGATTGCTATTTGGGTTCAAGACACAGGAAAAAATAAGACCCTTTTTTGTGTGGTTCCTATGTTTCTGTATAACTTCCTTTACTGGAAAAAAGGCTGAATTAATGTTTGTTTCAGTTTTTTTCTTTCTTGTCTGAATTTATCTCATTTTTATGTTGTGAGTTTTTCCTTATACTTTTTTTATTGAAGTGTGTTTTTTTAGTAAATTTTTCTTTTTTCTATGATGCAGGAGATGCAGTATTCGATGCATCGCAATATGCTTTTTTTGGGAAAGATGTTCTCGAGGAAGTTGAATTGGGGGGATTAGATGATGACGAGGAGGAATTACCTGCAGTTGGACTTGATGATGAGGAGTTTTTGTTTAATCGAGAGGAGGTTAATGTTCTTGTTTCTTTTCAGTTTTCTTTATTGTTTTAGTTATTTTTGTGAATTTATGCATAGCAGGACAAAATCAGTGGTTACTTGTTTGAAAAGAAAACTGCTCCCTTCTGAGTGAAGTGTTTCTGTTGGCACATCTAACTATCTTCAAGCATATCATTTTTCATATTTGATTTTAGCATAATATCCGTGTGCTAGCTGCTTTATCTAATTTATTTTTATATTTGCAGGGTGAAGTTTTGAGACCCTTATCAGACATTGATGATCTTGCTAATACATCTTCAAAGGTTAATCCACTGCATAATTACTGTATTTTGCAACTAGTGAGATAATCAAAGTTCTTTTCCACTCCTGAGGATTTGCCCCTAAACCCACATTTACTGTTAGCATTAGATCTTATCCCATTCTGAGTGAATTAATGGGATAAAACCTTGACATTTATTGAAGCACATCCGTACTTTTGACTTTTGAGCTTGTATTTGTCTGGTTTCTTAAGATAAACAAGAGATATTTTACCAACTCCTTTTCATAATGATCTGCTAGTGTGCTAAGAATATTGATCCTCCAAACTTTTATTGCAACTCTAAATAAGGGCACTAGCAGCTCTCAGAATCTTTGCTTGATATATTGGGTTATTTTTTATATATGAGAAATTTTAACTTATTAAAATTTGTCTCCTTGTTTCTCCAAGATCAAATCTTTGGACTGTAAATTAGTCATAAAGGACGGAGTTCCTATCGTTTGTCAAAATATTTCTTAAATCATAAATCACTAGATGTATGCGTGTAACTTGGTGGTTAGTTCTAGCATTTCTTTAGCGATTGCTGATGCTAGCTTGTGATGTTGTTACAGTTGGACACAGCTTTTAGTGGACCAAGAGGTTCGGGGATAATTGGTGATGGGGGATCCAGACAAAGTGAGTTTATTAATCTCATCACTTTCTTCTGTTATAAGTGGTTGATGATTGATGTTGTTGAGGTCCTACATTTTCTGGATTTGTTTCTTGCAGATGTCTTTGATATGTTTTAGCATTAATGCTGATTGTTGAACTTTGATAAAAGCGTCTTTTACCTGTTTGAAGTATTCACTAGCTGTATGTTCCCAAATTTTTAATGGACAGTTATGCTCAAGTTTGGGAAAACTATCATATGTGGATAGGTAAATAAGATATTCCGGGATCAAGTGGAAGATATATCTGGAATTGGAAATTATTTTGAGTTAACTGTTTTTAGAGTGTTTTTGGTGGTGGTTATTCCATAGCTAGAATAAAAAGAAACGATAAAACGTCGCTTAGGTTTATCAAGATTATGATTGAGTTATTTGGTAGGAACCCATTTGTTGTTACATTTGATGAGACTCCTATAAGGATGTTCATCTATATACTTAGGTGCAGTGGACATGCTTTCCTTTTGAATGGCATAGTTTCCCATTGAAAACGATGAAGGCAGCCAATAGTTTTACTAAAAGTCTGTGATGTAATTCCCTTTTTAATAGGGAGTTGGTGGTTAAGGGTTTCCTTAATTTTGTCTAGTCTTGTGTGTGTTTCAATTGTGTTAATTAGATATGGAAATTTTGCATTTGCGTGTATCTTAAGCATCTGAGTCTGAATGTGGAACCTCTCATCTTCAAATTGAACCTTTGTAGATGACATGAATTAATGGGATAAAATAATAGCTTGCTCTGATTGAATTGAATTTTTTTATCTTTTAATGGCATATTCCTGTTACATGACTCTAAGAAATTAATTCATGTGATGCTCACCTCAGTTGAAATCAATTCTGACAATGCTCACCCCAAGCAAAGACTTAAGTACTAAGCAGGAATCAGATCGTGCTGTAGACAAAACAATTAGTTGTGAGTATAACATTGGTGGCCTTCTTAGCTCATGATATTCATAATTTCGTATTCTTAATCAGTTAAAATGTTGTTGAATCCAATTATTATTGGGATCTATATCACTAGTTTAGTTTTATTTTAATTACTGTGATTGGGTTGAGGCAATGAGTTGCGACATGTGCAAGGTGCACTTTTGGGGCCTCTTACATTATCAGAGTGAAAGGCACCGAGTCCACTCAAGCATCACACACATATATTATAATGATTTTTTTTAAAAAAATCTAATAAACATAATGTTAAAAATATGATCTATACATAACCCTCATTTCAAAGTTGAGTTCCTCTTTTAAAGGAAGAGTTAAGAATCACCTATTAGTGGTGAATGCTCAGGACACTTATTCCTTTGCCTAATGTGTTGATGGTGCTATAATATTATCATAGCTATAATTAATTAAGAGTACACTAGCTGAAGGTTTTCTTTGCTATCATTTTTAACAGTAGGTTGTGCATGAATTGTACTAATTATTTTTGCTGTTGTAAATGAATATCTAGGCAGTAAGACCCTACATCATAGTGAAGCGACCAACTACACAGACCAACAGACATACATGCAAGATAATATCATGCCAATATTGACATTTTTCTTATGTTGTTGAAGGTTCATCTGCTGCAGAATGGACACATGGGGAGGAATTTCCTTACTGGCTTGGTCAGCAGCCACTTGGAACTGAAAGCATTCCCGAAGGGAAATGCCGGTCAGCACAACCCTTGGCCAATTTGGAACCAATGCATATCTATAGGACATCCTCATACCCCGAGCAGAAGCAGCAGCTTCCGCCACAGCAACAACATCAATACCGTCAAAATTTCTCTAGCGAACCAATTTTAGTTCCAAAATCTTCTTATACTTCATACCCTTCCCCTGAGGGCAGATCTCCTCAGGCTTCACCGAACCAACATGCTGGACACCTAAATATTCCTTATATGGTTGGTGGGCCACGGATGGCATCTTTGCCAAACCTATCTGCCTTCTCAAATTCTCAGCTTCAACCGCCTGGCTTATGTCGTGGGCCACCTTTTTGTGGGAATATTCCTCAATTTGCTCCTGGCCTGTCTGTCAGTAATCAGCCGTCAAATCAATGGGGGAGCCAGGCAAAATTGTACGGGGATGATTCCTGTATTTTGAACAATATGTTGCAAAAACAGTTATCTAATCAAAATGGTTTGGTTCCTCCACAATTAATGCCACAGCTGCAGTCGCACCTGCAGAGACTGCAGCATCCTTCTCAGCCTTCAGTTGGCCAGTTTTCAGGGATTCAGTCACAATTATTTAATCCTCATCATTCTCCTTCCCCATCTCAAATGAACAAGATTGAGACTATACTTGGCATTGGTGATCTGAGAGATCAAAGAGTCAAATCAGCTCAGAAAGGTAGGCAGAATCTACGGTTTTTGCAGCAGTGTTTTGACAGCGGTAGACTGAAGAGCAATCTTGGGTGGCCTCAGTTTAGATCCAAATACATGTCAACTGATGAGATTGAGGGCATTGTCAGAATGCAGCTTGTTGCAACCCACAGTAATGACCCCTACATGGATGATTATTACCACCAGGGTTGTCTTGCAAGAAAATCTGCTGGGGCAAAGTTGAGACATCATTTCTGCCCTACTCAGATTAAGGACCTTCCTCCCCGAGCACGTTCGAATTCCGAGCCTCACGCTTTTCTCCAGGTTGATGCTCTTGGGAGGGTTCCTTTCTCTTCAGTTCGCAGGCCTCGCCCTCTTCTTGAAGTTGACCCTCCAAATTCATCTGTTGTCACCAACAAAGATAAAAAAGCTTCTGATATGCCCCTGGAACAGGAACCTTTGCTTGCTGCTAGAGTTACTATAGAGGATGGTATATGCCTTCTTCTTGACGTCGATGATATTGATAGGTTTTTACAGTTTAATCAGTTGCAGGATGGTGGAGCCCAACTGAGACAAAGACGACAGACTTTCTTGGAGGAGCTGGCAACATCACTTCAGTTGGTTGACCCACTTGGCAAGAATGGTCATACAGATGAGCTTGCTCAGAAGGATGATCTTGTGTTTTTACGGATAGTTTCCCTCCCCAAAGGCCGGAATCTACTTGCAAGGTTCCTTAGGCTTCTTCCTCCAGGTGGTGAGCTCATGCGAGTTCTCTGCATGTCCATTTTCCGTCATTTAAGGCTCTTGTTTGGGGCCCTTCCCTCTGATCCAGGAGCTGCTGAAACTACTATTAACCTTGCAAGGGTTGTTTCCTCGTGTGTTCATGAGATGGATCTCCGTGCTCTTAGTGTTTGTCTTGCATCTGTTGTTTGTTCCTCAGAGCAGCCCCCTCTTCGTCCCATTGGAAGTCCTGCTGGAGATGGGGCATCTTTTATTCTGAAATCTGTTCTTGATAGGGCAACAAAAATTGTGACTGATTCTAGAGCTGCTTGCTATTATAATACGACTAATCTGCCCCTTTGGAAGGCTTCATTTGATGAATTCTTTAACCTTCTTACTAAGTATTGCATAAACAAATATGATACTGTGATGCAGTCCGTGCGAATGCAGGCCAAACCAAGTATGGCAATTGATGGATCAGATGCTGCGAAAGCTATTAAAAGGGAAATGCCAATTGATCTCTTACAAGCATGTTTACCCCACCTTAATGACCAGCAGAAAAAGCAGCTTTGGGATCTCTCTCAACGGCCTATGCTTGTAGGGCAGTCATGATACATAAGCAGTACCTAGGAGAAGTTCTAATACAAATGTGTTCGAGACAGCAACAATTGAAGTACACAATAAGGTGCAAATGATGCCAAGGCTGAAAGGAATTCAATTAGCTATACCGTTCCACACAAATGTGGCTATGATGGAGCGTCAACTGTGGTTCAGGTGAAACACCAAAGATAACTTTTTAAGTAAAGGCCAATTTCCTTTGAGATTTTAGTTTTATTACCTGTGTTTTCACTTTCATCCCTTGTTTTTGCAAAACATTGAAGTGGCTTATGTGTACATAAGCAGTACCTAGGAGAAGTTCTAATACAAATGTGTTCGAGACAGCAACAATTGAAGTACACAATAAGGTGCAAATGATGCCAAGGCTGAAAGGAATTCAATTAGCTATACCGTTCCACACAAATGTGGCTATGATGGAGCGTCAACTGTGGTTCAGGTGAAACACCAAAGATAACTTTTTAAGTAAAGGCCAATTTCCTTTGAGATTTTAGTTTTATTACCTGTGTTTTCACTTTCATCCCTTGTTTTTGCAAAACATTGAAGTGGCTTATGTGTACATAAGAAGTACCTAGGAGAAGTTCTAATAAAAATGTGTTCGAGACAGCAACAATTGAAGTACACAATAAGGTGCAAATGATGCCAAGGCTGAAAGGAATTCAATTAGCTATACCGTTCCACACAAATGTGGCTATGATGGAGCGTCAACTGTGGTTCAGGTGAAACACCAAAGATAACTTTTTAAGTAAAGGCCAATTTCCTTTGAGATTTTAGTTTTATTACCTGTGTTTTCACTTTCATCCATTCTTTTTGCAAAACATTGAAGTGGCTTATGTGTATAGAAACTTGCTAGGACGTTTTCCCTTTCCTTGGGTCCTCACCATATATTGGAGCTTATTTAGACGCTCTGTTGTGAAATTTCTGGTATGGAAATGTTAGTTGGTTAGCATGTACAGGGTTTGGTACAGATAACCTGTGTTCCGGCTATTATTTCCCGACGAGGCCGGACGGATCCTGTCTTGGTCTCCCTTGTCATAGTTGCTGCTCTGCAATGCCAGCAGACACCGGTTATCGGCAATTGTAGCCCTATTAACGGGAACGTTGAAGCTTTTGATTTGATCCTTTGAATTTATTTTTATAATCCTTTTTTTTCTTTCCCATCATTTTGTCGAAGAGAAGACTGTTTATATTATATATATATCAGTGCAGCATTTTGATATTGGTGTTGATCCAAAGGCTCTCGTTCTTTGTAGCTAAGGTGTTGATCCAAAATCATATTTGAATACCTTTTTAACATGTTTCCAAATTTTATATAATAGGTACACACAGGTTTAAATTTTGATTCAGCTTGCAAGCATTTACCGGGAAAAAAAAGAAATCAGCTTTTGAGCTACTCGATTTAAGCATTAAGTTTATGATCAAAATAAAGTAAAATAATAAGAATATATCAAGATATAACACTAAAAATGGCTGTCACTTGTTCCCATATGTAATGGGGTAAGGGGAGGTAAGATAGTAAGCTGCCCCCAACACTAGATTGAGAACAGTTTTCGTAAGGTCTCCAAATTATAAAATACCCTTCGTGGGACTCGATTTCACGATCTCAAGGTTAAAAACCTTGTGCTCTACCAACTGAGCTGGATAGTCATCTCATATCAAGATATAACACTAAATTCTCATTTATTTTTACACCCAAAAAATGGTTAATTTACATCTTTATCGGCCATTAAACTCCGTAAGAGTAACATTATTGAGTGAAAACCTATCTTCAACATCTTGGCTAGTTGGTGTTGGTGTTTGAGTGAATGCAGGTTGTTTTGGAATGTTGAGATCTAAAATCTCACTGTTAAGCATTAAAACAACAGTTGACATATTGGGTCTATCTTTAGCAAATTCTTGAACGCATAGCAATCCAACATGTATGCATCTCCTTATTTCTTTCTCGTACTCTAAACCCGACTCTGAACCCGAAACCACCTTGTCTACTAAACCCCAAATGTTGTTTTCCCTCCACAATTTCCATGCCTGCAAAGAATGAAAAACTCAAAGCTTCAGTTTAATTTAAGAGAAAATCGCCTCAGTGACCAAAAAAAAGTTATAATATACGATTTTAACCAACTTTTTTTGGATTTGCCAAAATGACCAACAAATTCGCAACGCGAAATAAAAATCGCAACGCGATCCCCAGAATCGCAAATCAGTTTCCAGAATCGCAAATCAGTTTCCAAAATCGCAACGCGATTCTTGAAAATCGCTATGCGATAGTACAAATTCGCATTGCGATTTTCCATAATCGCAACGCGAATATGAAAATCGCAACGCGAACACATAAATCGCAACGCGTATCCGTAAATCGCAACGTGTATCCGTAAATCGCAACGCGTATGGGTAAATCGCAATGCGTATCCGTATATCGCAACGCGTATCCGTAAATCGCAACGCGTATCCGTAAACCGCAACGTGTATCCGTAAATCGCAACGCGTATCCGTAAATCGCAATGCGTATCCGTAAATCGCAACGCGTATCCGTAAATCGCAACGATAATCCGTAAATCGCAACGCGTATCCGTAAATCGCAACGATAATCCGTAAATCGCAACGAGAATCTGTAAATCGCAACGATAATCCGTAAATCGCAACGAGAATCTGTAAATCACAACACTGAAATTTTGGGTATATAACACTGAAATCATAAACTAAATCCCTAAATCGCAACTCATTCCATCTCCATCTATCACTCTCTCCGGCGACATCCGTTCCTATATCCAACGACATCCTTCCCAATCCGGCAACAGGTTTTAGTTTCGCAGCTCGTCTGTTTAGTAAATTAATTTACAACCATGAAATCATCTAATGTTGATCATGTTTGGATAGATTTGTGTTTTGGAGGGTCATGGGATAATGTTCATGGTGTTTTACAATATATGCCTTTACCCATGAATCTTCAACTAAAATTGTCTTTACAAAAGTTAACTTATGAAACTCTAATGCTACGTGTTTCAAATAAATTGAATTTAGAGCCCCTAAGTGGATTTAGGCTATCTTATCAGAGAAATGGTAAAGTTTATTTGTTAACCGACAATGAAGATGTTGAACGATTCATTGCTTACATTAGTGTTTCACAAGATGATGTTACATTGTATGTTGTTGAACCTAGAAGTAGTATTGTTGGGTCAGTAGCGGGTAGTAATCAACTAAGTTTTTCTCAAAACCCACAACCTTTCTCTAATCCAAATCCCAATCAACTTTCAGCACCAAATTCCGGTTTTCGTATTGACCAGTTAGACGATGATGAGCCAACAGAAAAAATTGTGAGTACTAGTCAGTATTCGAAATTTGGTCTTGGTCAATATCCGGACTTTGATATTGGTCAATACACGGATTTTGATGATGTTTCAGAAGAAGAAACAGACCATGCGTGTAATGATATTGATATTGGTCAATACCCGAATTTTGATGATGAAACAGCCGTTGCCGAAGAATGTAATGTTGATGATAATGAGGAGGAAGTTACGACTGTGAATGAACATGTTGAACATCCATTCTGTAATTCATATAATCCTGAAGAAGAAAAAGAAGAAGAAAAAGTCCCCGAAGAAAAGAAAATGCCACGGGCGTATAACTGGAATATGCCAGAATTACTTCAGATACCGGAAGAAGAGTTGATAAAGAAAGCAGTTGATTGTTACACAAAAGTTATTCGTATCAAGAAAGATGATTGTTTTGATACAAAGGAAGACTTGAAGATAGCTTTATATACGAAATGTGTGGAAGATGGCTATCAACTAAAAGTTAACAAATCAAGCAAAGATCGTTTCGAAACAAGGTGTATGATTGACAAAAACTGTACGTGGCGTATGATTGCAAAGAGAATAAAAGATTGCAAAATGTTTCAAGTTAGGACTTTTATTGATAAACATACATGTTCAAGAACCCAAGTTTTTCCTCACCATAGACAGGCAAACAAAAAGGTGTTGGGTGGTTTTCTGGCTGAGTTAATGTTTTTGAATGGCAGGGTATATCGGGGACATGAAATTATGACTGACATGAATGCTCGGTTCAAGATTAGTATATCATATTCTCAAGCTTGGAGAGCCAAATGTTATGCCTTGGAATTGTTGAGGGGGTCGCCAGAAGCATCGTTTGCCCAACTGCCGGCTTATTGTCACAATTTAAAGCTGAAAAATCCTGGGTCGGTAACTCATATCAAAACAGATAGAGATGGACGCTTTGAGTTGCTGTTTATCGCCATTGGTGCTACGGTTAGTAAATCAATATAATTTTGTTGACTCATTTTTGTTAGTTACATGCATTTCACATTTAAATGATTATATTTCTTGTGTATATTATTTTGTAGATTCGTTCGTTTATTACTTGCATGCGCCCAGTTATTATAGTTGACGGAGCACATTTGAAAGGTCGATACCTTGGAGTAAACTTATTAGCAGTAGCCATGGATGCTAACAATGGGATATTGCCAATAGCTTACGGGGTTGGCAAATCTGAAACCTCTGATTCATGGACATGGTTTATGGGGCATCTTAGGGATTGCATAGGTCCTATTAGCAATCTGACAATCATATCCGATAGGGCAAACTCAATTGACAACGCTGTTAGAAGGTGTTTCCCAGATGCTTTTCATGGACTTTGTGGTGTTCATTTGTATAGAAATCTAAAATCAAGGTCTGCTGGTATAAAAAAGCACAAATGGACATACTGGAAGGCTGTAAAAGCTTATCGGGAAGTGGATTTCAATAAGCATATAAATTGTTTAAGACGTGTTTTGCCTCAGTGTGCTCAAACACTAGAAGATGTCGGGTTTGAAAGATGGTCAAGAGTACATCAACTTGGAGCAAGATATGGTTTCATGACGTCTAATAGTGCAGAATCAATCAACGCTCTAAGTCGTCATTCCCGGAAATTACCCATTACTATGTTAATGGAGTTTTTTCGAGCCTCTATTCAACAGTGGTACTACAAGAAAAGAAACCATGCAGGTATTATTTCTTTGAATTCGTAACTTATCATATTTATATTTTTACTAAGTATTGTTTATTTAAATTTACAGGAACATTGGAACATCGTGTTACACCATGGACTGAAAAAAGATAACGAAACGTGTTGTGAAGTCAACGTCATGGAGAGTTGAACCATGTTCAAACACTTTGTTTCAAGTACTGGATAATAACTTAAATGGGCTAGTCGATCTAAATGCAAAGACGTGTAGTTGTATGAAATGGCAAACATCTGGTTATCCGTGTGGCCATGTTATAAAAGTTGCTCTTCATTTAAACCAAGATGATTCAAGCGCATACGCTATGGATTGCTACACTACAGAAGTTTATCGACAGACTTATGCCGAGATTGTCTACCCTATTCCACATCCTTCTGAGTGGGACATACCAGATGACTTACAAACAGTTTTGCCACCAGCCATGGACAGAAGGCTACCTGGCCGACCAAAAAGTCACGATCGTATACCGTCTAAGGGTGAAGAGAAGAAGAGATCGACATGTAGTCGGTGCAAGGAAAGTGGTCATACAAGGTTGACATGTGGATCACCAGTGCCATCAAAATCATCTTTTCCTCTACCAAAATATGGATCCTCATCAAAATCCAAAGCTCATATGGTGTCAAGCAAAAGGCAATCATCTTTAAAATCCCAATCACGATTGGCTTCACCTTTTGAGACTGTTAACTTAGGTGATTTTTAAATGCAAACGTTGTATTATGTGGATTTTATGTGTGAACTTTTAACATTTTCAGTTGAATTAATGACTCAGGCCAACCATTTTGACTTAACCAACTCTTGTTATTCAGTTGTTATCACTATTAGGCATGCATTTGACTATCGCAACACGGAAAATACAATCGCAACGCGAAATGAAAATCCCAACATGAAAATCGCAATGCGGAAATGAAAATCGCAACGAGAGAATCGCAATGCGAAATGAAAATCGCAATGCGAAATGAAAATCGCAACGAGAGAATCGCAATGCGAAATGAAAATCGCAATGCGAAATGAAAATCGCAACGACAGAATCGCAATGCGAAATTAAAATCGCAATGCGAAATGAAAATCGCAATGCGAAATGAAAATCGCAATGCGAAATGAAAATCGCAACGAAAGAATCGCAATGCGAAATGAAAATCGCAATGCGAAATGAAAATCGCAACGAGATAATCGCAATGCGAAATTATAAACGCATTGCGATTTTCATTTCCGCATTGCGATTTTCATTTCGCATTGCGATTCTCTCGTTGCGATTTTCATTTCGCATTGCGATTTTCATTTCGCATTGCGATAGTCATTTTTGCCTTCAACATAATGCAGATTGAAATCAACAAAATCAACCATTACATTTCAATCAATTAAACAAGCACAAATAAGAATTATGTTCGCATCAATTACACAAATCAACTTTTACAAATCATCTTTTACAAATCAATTAAACAATCAAAAAATAAGCAATAATTCTTATTTCCGATCATCTACTATTGAATCAACTTTTACAAATCAATTAAACAATCAAAAAACAATCAATTAAACTATTGAATCAACTTTTGCAGCTCGACATCATTTTCACGCAGTTCACTTCTGAGATTAACCTGCAGAAACCAAACATTTGTTCAAACAACACTTTCTACACATCTAAAACCTACAAACAGCAAATTATTGAATTCTAGTTACTTAACCAAACATTTTCAAACCAAAAGTATATAAACTTACCAATTGTTTATGGACATTTTTATAACGCGGATGCAGGTAGGCAGCGTCTCGTATATATCGATTTAGCCATATAATGCCGAAACCACAAGCCTACTGCAGCTTTATCTCTATCGGTGGGAGGTAGATACTTGATGCTTCCCGTCGTCAAACGCTCCAACGCCAAGCATACGAGAGGACCACAATCTCCTCTGGCTCCGCTCGTTTGTTGTGGCGCGGTCTCGTCTCTAATAACTGTAATATTGAGCTTCTTTGGCTTCTTGTTTCCAGAACGAGTCCAATAATTGATCGCATCCAA